TTTTTAATTTAAATAATTTAATGCTTAAGACGTTTTCAAACTTTCTACAAATTTAAACCGAATACTCTAGCAAAACCTGATAGATTTTAAATAATTTGAACTTATATCGATTTAAAGTTGACAGATAAATGGTATATTTTAATCCAGTAAGCTCTTTTCCATTCTTGCGTTACCTTCAATTTCAAAATGAAGCGAACTGCAAATGGCAACTTGAGGCTTTCTGGTTGATTCCAAACTACCAGAAAGTATAATTCATAATGCTTTAGAAAATTGGTTTGCTGCCAATTAGAAATCCAGAGGGAATAAAAGTACAACTACGACGAAAGCATATCTAAATTAAAAAATGTACTTATTCGAAAAGAAACTCAAAGGAATAGAATAATTAGATCGCAAATTCTAAAAAGATCCAAAGGAATACATATTTTTTATATTTTTTGGTGGGATTTTAAAATGGCAACAAGTACTAAAAGAATTTCAATGCTTGATAAATAATAGAAAAGCTGATTTCAATTTTTTTCAAATAAGTAAATTTGATTGATATTTATTAAATTTTTTATTGAAGAAAATAAGTATAAAATTAAAATAACATTTCAATTTTTTATTTTTTGAGCCTTTTTTTATTTAAGCAACAACTGTATAAATAAACGATTTACAAAAATTTTTTATTCAGGGTTTTTTTAATGAATATTTTAATGAATTTTTTCTATTTCAATTAAATTAGTTAGTTAAACTTATTAAAATTGCCCCTATTTAAAATACAATCATTAACAAATGAAGTAACTTCTGACTACTTTCATAATTTCTATTTATTTTCCATATTAAAACTTTTTCTACAATTATTTTAACTTGTTTTTCATAAAAAAAAAATTATAATATTTCTTAATGCAAAATTAGTAGAAATTTTTTTTATTACTTTGAAAGCTTTAATAAAATATTTTTCATTATTTATAATAATAAAAGGAAGAATTTGTTTGAATGTGTCTCTCATATCTCCGAAACCGTTTGTGCTCGGGTTCTGAAATTTAGACAGAGTGTGTAAGGTACACAAAGCGTCGACGTAAGGTCTTAGTTAGGTACACAAAGTGTCGGTTCACTTTGTTTTCATCTTTTTATTGAAAAACTAGCGAAGCTATTTTTCACTAATTTGAACATTAAAAACCCATTCGCATTTTCTGAAAAGCATCTTTAATTTTCTCTTGATTTTGTTTAGATGTCTTTAGATGGAGATAACATAAATTTTATGGATTTAAAATATCTTACGAAATAAAGTTTCATAATTTAGTTATGCAATACTTTAATTTACATGTTTTAATACTTCAAATATACAGTTTATAAGAAATTAACAAAATTCACAATCAATAATTTTATAAAGAACAAGCAAAAAATTTTCGTATTTTATTTTCACTGAAGAATGAAAGTTTCATATTTGTAATCAATCATTAAAATTTTTTAAAATTAAAATCAAGATAAAAAATATTATTTACATTTTGTATACTTTCAGTAAACATTTTGTAATAAGCTAACAAACTAGTTACGTGATCGTTTTAAAAAAAGCGACTTAGGAAACCTTCAAATTCAATTTTTATACAAACTTCAACTTAATCTGATTTAAATCTTAATCCAATTTAAATCGGGAACTCAGTTTTAATTAGGATCGGTAAATAGTTACAATTTATAAATTAACATCATCAGAGTTAATGAAATGTGTAAAACTCGCAAACTTAAAATTTAAAAATTTGCATAATGTAACAAGCATTGCAGATTTAGTCTAATTTTCAACAAAGCATGCCAAATTCTTTTTTAGAAACAGGTTTAAATCGTCAATTTTTTTTTCATATGTATATTGTCAAAGTATATTTAAAACAAATTTATCGGCCAACAGTTTAAAAAAAATACATATATATTTTTCACTTAAATTTTTAAAAACCAATTTCAAAGATCTGATCTCAAATTATATTATTAAATCAGGATCAGCATATGATTTAATAATCTCTATCAAAATTTTAAATAAATTACGAGGAATTAATAAGCTATCTGAGTAAAATCTGGAACAACTTTTTAATTTCTCGATTTCTATGAGGATTTCCCGTTTTCAATCATTTAATAAACATCATCGAAGTTAATTGAATTTGTAAAATTCGACACTTTATCATTGAACAATTTCAAAAAACAACTAGCAATATTAATTTTATATTTTTACAGTAACTCGTGCTATCTTTCTTATCAAATAACGATTAAATTAAATAGCAAATATATCTTTATTAAATGTTTAAAAAATAAATTCTTGAGATCTTATTTCAAATTTCAGATGTAAATCAAGATCAGAAAATTATTCAAAAATCTATATGATGTTAAAAATCAATAACACACTATTAAGTTGATTTCGAGAAATTTACTAATTAACTCAATTTAAATCTTCCCAGATATCAAATAAGTTCGGTAAATAGTTTAAAATTTAATATAATTGCAGCTATTTAAATATGGAATACTTGTTCACTTACCATTCAACAATTTGATAAAGCAACAAGCAATATTGATTTTATATTTTTACAGTAATTCGTGCTATCTTTCTTATCAAATAACGATTAAATTAAAATTAAATTAAACTTCGTCTTTTTACACTAACTCGTTCTAACTTACAAACGTTTTTTTAAACAATATCTTAATAAAATAACAAGTATATGTATCGCTACTAAAGTTATAAAAAATAAATTCTAGAACTCTGATTTCAAATTTCAGATGTAAATCAAGATCAGAAAATTATTCAGAAATCTATATGATGATATTAAAAATCAATAACACACTATTAAGTTGATTTCTAGAAATTTACTAATTAACTCAATTTAAATCTTCCCAGATATCAAACAAGTTCGGTAAATAGTTTAAAATTTAATATAATTGCAGCTATTTAAATATGGAATACTTGTTCACTTACCATTCAACAATTTGATAAAGCAACAAGCAATATTGATTTTATATTTTTACAGTAATTCGTGCTATCTTTCTTATCAAATAACGATTAAATTAAAATTAAATTAAACTTCGTCTTTTTACACTAACTCGTTCTAACTTACAAACGTTTTAAACAATATCTTAATAAAATAACAAATATATTTATAGCTACTAAAGTTATAAAAAATAAATTCTAGAGCTCTGATTTTAAATCTCAGATGCAAATCAAGATCAGAAAATTATTTAAAAATCTATATGAAAATATTAAACATTCATGACACACTATTAAGTTAATTTCGAGAAAATTACTAATTAACTAAATTTAAATCTTCTCCGATTTCAAACAAGATATCCAACAGCATGTAAATAAAATAACAAATATACTTATCTTTACTAAAGACTAAAAAAAGTATACCTACAGATTTGATTTTAAATTTCAGATGGAACTAAAGATCAGAAAATTATTTAAAAATCTGTATGACAATATTAAAAATCGATAAGATTTCAAGAAATTTACAAATTAATTCGATGTCAATCTTTCCCGATTTCAATCAAGATTTAAAACTTGACGTAATCAGAGCTATTTAGATATGGAAAACTCGTTAACAATTCAACAATCTAAAAAAGCAACAAGCAGTATAAACTACCTTTACTAAAGGTTTAAAAAAATTATAGAGATCTGATCTTAAATTTCAGATGTAAATCATGATCAGAAATTTTTTTTAAGTCTATAAGATGATATAAAAAAAATCTTTAGCACAATATTAAATTCATTTTCAGAAATTTACAAATTAACTCAATTAAAATCTTCCCCGATTTCAATCCAGATCGGTAAATAGTTTAAAATTTAACATATTGAGAGCTATTTGAATGCGGGAAAGTAATTAACTTACCATTCAACAATTTTTAAAAGCAACAAGCAATACAAATTACCTTTACTAAAAGGTTTAAAAAAATTTATAGAGATCTGATTTTAAATTTCAAATGTAAATCATGATCAGAAATTTTTTTTAAAAAACTATAACATATTATAAAATATATACATATATATGTAGCACAATATTAAATTCATTTTCAGAAATTTATAAATTAACTCAATTAAAATCTTCCCCGATTTTAATTCAGATCAGTAAATAGCTTAAAATTTAGCATATTCAAAGCTATTTAAATATGGAAAACTCGTTAACACTTCAACAATCTAAAGAAGCAACAAGCAATATAAACTACCCTTACTAAAGGTTTAAAAAAATTATGGAGATCTGATTTAAAATTTCAAATGTTAATCATGATCAGAAATTTTTTTAAAATCTATAGGATGGTATAAAAAATTAAAAAAACAATCTTTAGCACAATATTAAATTCATTTTCAGAAATTTACAAATTAACTCAATTAAAATCTTCCCCGATTTCAATCCAGATCGGTAAATAGTTTAAAACTTAACACATTCGGAGCTATTTGATAGTGGAAAAGTAGTTAACTTACCATTCAACAATTTGAAAAAGCAACAAGCAATGTAAACTACCTTTACTAAAGGTTTAAAAAAATTATAGTGATCTGATTTTAAATGTAAGTGATGATCAGAAATTTTTTTAAAAGTCTGAAAGATGACATAAAAAAATTCTACAGCACAATATTAAATTTATTTTCTGAAATTTACAAATTAACTCAATTAAAATCTTCCCCGATTTCAATCCAGGTTGGTAAATAGTTTAAAATTCATCATATTCAGAGCTATTTGAATGTGGAAAAGTAGTTAACACTTCAACAATTTTAAAAAGCAACAAGCAATATAAACTACTTTTACTAAAGGCTTAAAAAAATTATAGAGATCTGATTTTAAATTTCAGATGTAAATCACGATCAGAAATTTTTTTAAAAATCCATAAGATGATATAAAGAAAAAATCTTTAGCACAATATTAAATTCGTTTTCAGAAATTTACAAATTAACTCAATTAAAATCTTCCCCGATTTCAATCCAGATCGGTAAATAGTTTAAAATTTAACGTATTCAGAGCTATTTGAATGTGAAAAAGTAGTTAACTTACCATTCAACAATTTGTAAAAGCAACAAGCAATGTAAACTTCGTCGTTAATTTTCACTAACGCGTGCAAACTTTCACATGAAGCACAAAATCAGCAGAGAGCGGACCTTTTCTTAGCGCCTGCTCAAAATATCCGTAGTGGGTAGGAAAGAGAAGCAGTTGGAGAAAATAACAACAAAAAGAGAAAGAAAAAATTTAGTCAAACGCGAAAGCTCCGTCTTTGCTCACGGCTTTCAACTCTGTTGTGAAAAAGGAATCATCGCGCCCCGGCTCGCCAAATCCTTCCGGAGATGACGTCACTTTTCCACGTGATAATATTTTTTTATTTTAATCCAGGATTGCCCGAAAAGTTGCCGCCCTCTTGTTGTTTACTGTTCTACTCCCCCCGGAGAGGGCACAAAAGTTTTATTCGATCAAAAACATTTTGTTTACGTAGTTGGAGCGAATAAAGAATTATTCTAAGGCCTTAACAGTAATTTTATATTAAAAATTTCATGCACTTTAACTCTTTCAAATCAAATATTTATGTTTTCTTTTTACTAAACTTCGGAAACTTCTGGAATTAAAAAGAGCTTTTATCAGCATAGAACTTACATCGTCTTATTTCACACATCTTTTATTTTTATAAGCGTTTAAAATTTTTTTGAACATCTAATTAAAAAAATCATCGTTTTCTTTTAATTCCGAAAGCAAAATATCGAATTATTATCCAATTCTCACGAGACTTCTATCTACGTGCTGTTCATTTTTAAAACCGGTAAAACTCAATATTTAAAAAAATAAAAAAATAAATAAATATTTGTGTATTATTTTGTTTAATTATATCACTTTCAGACGTATCTGTTATTATAGCTAGGACCGCAATAACCGGCATAATTGCTCGCATTCAACATTATTTTTTTTCCTTTTAAAGTCAATCTTTTTCTCAGTAACGAAAAAAAATTCTTGCTTTTGCTAATAAAATACATAATTATTCTAATCTTACATAACAAGATTTTGTTGATTATTGTTAAGAAGTTAACAGCTATCTATATTTGAAAAATATTCAAATGTAAATGAAACAAATTTAAAATCAAGAGTACCAAATATATGACATAATAAGATATGTATTCGAAATTTATATTATTAAATATTATTAATTAATATTATTTTGATAGTTTAAATAGGAAATGGTTTTCATCTCTCTTGAATTAATTTTATTTTATTATTCAAAAATTTTCCATATGTATGCTACAAATTTTTACCTGGCACCATCTAATCTCCTTCTCTTCTTATTTTTTTTAAAAAACTTTTTCCTGATATCAACTCTAGTGCGAGCTTATAAAATTAAAATCTCGAGATAGATAATTACATTTTCTACAACAATGGATAAATAGTCATTATTTAAAACAAAAAAAAGTGTGGAAAAATGTGCGGAAAAAAAGCTCTTAAAATCGCAATAGCTTCGAACAATTTGAAATTTCGAAAAAAGAAGCTCGCGTTATGTTAACAAATATAAATGGCCTTTTCAGCACAACAATTCATCAGCTCTGTAGCTGCATTCCTGTAGGCTGCAGAGTGGACTACATGGAATTTTTTACTTCAAATTTATACAAGCAAATTTATTTAAACGGTTAATAATTCTTGAAATAATTATCAAATGTTGAATTTTTTATTTCATCGTAAGCAGTGTACAAAAAAACTAAGAATAAATAAATAAATAAACAGACCTCCCTGAATAACTTTTGATCTAAAAATCGGATCTTCACGTTCTAGAACTCAATCTTAATGGCTCGAGCGGGTGACCAGAAATATGCTAATTAATAAATGCAGACGATATTTTAAGTTGCGAAATCAGACACAAAAACGTACTTTCTCCGACTAAACATACCATTTTTTCGACGGATTAGGATTTCCAATCCCCAAAATATAGGGGGTAGCCGCAATTTGGGAAATATGGTCCCTGTAGTTTGGTTAGGAGAGCGCTCCAAATTTTGGACCCACTTAATGTTAATTTCACTTTTTGCGTATTTTTGCTTATTTTGAAAATTTGTTTAAAAAAATAAATAAAAAAGTGGCAACTCAGAAATGTAAATTTTTGTATAAAATTTTTTCTACTGCTCAATTTTCAAAATAATACCTTACACCAAGCTTCTGATATTTTTTTTAAATAATAAAAAAGTAATTTTTTTTTGTTTTGTTTTTTTGGAAAAATAGTGTTCTGATATGTAATGATACGATGAACACTTAAAAAAGGGTGGCAAAAAATTTACTGCGCAATTTTTTTTAATTTCTTGCTATATTATGTACTATTTTCTACTCATATTACCTGATTAAAAACTTCATTCACTTCAAAAATATGTTAATTAGAAATAACAGTCGACATGTTTCGAACTCTCAAAAATTGGCGCCTATTTTCAAGATTTGCCAGACATGAATGAGAAAAAACAAAAATGATTTTAAATTTAAAAAAAATGTAAAGTGGCCATCTAAAAACGGAAAAATGAAGGTGAGAAACAAAACTAATAGCCGAGAGAGAAAAAAATACGAAAAACAGAACAAGAAAAGCCACAGTGACTCGGGAGGGGCAAATCAGGTTAAATGCATTTCATCGCGTTATGAAGAGATGGTGGGGAACTAATGTTGTTATATATTTAATTTTATACTTGGGTTCATATAAAAATCATAACTTACATTTTGCTTCTGAGTTTCTGAAAAGGCCAATCAAAAATGAGTGTCTATTTAAATGGTGAAACATCTGAATACGTAATGATGACATAGTGTACAGTATAAAAGAGAACAGTTTAACCACTAAACTGTCATGTCCCAACACTGTTAGGGTTTCGCAAAAAGGGACTTTTTTTATACGTCCGTACTCCGCTCGGGCAATGCATTTTCTTACACCATTCCACTGATTGGACATTTTTTTTTTAACTTTGTAGTCTTTCGACTGGATGTCTCTAGTAATTTAGTAATTACTAGAGTAGTAATTAGTCATTCAGCTCTAGTAAATCAGATGTCTGAGCCGGGATAGCCTATTTGTCAGGGCGCTCAACAGAGCTTTAATTTGTTTTTGTTTTTCTAAGCAGAGTCGAGAAGAGAGTAAATGTTATTTTGTTCTTGAACAATTTTATTGGTATATTATTATTAAGGCCCGGATTTTGATGACATTTGCATTTTTTGCATTTTTGGACATTTTTTGTCTTTTAGAGCATTTTTTTAGATTTATAGGGCATTTTTCTTTAAATTTTGGGGCGTATTTTGCATTTTAATGCATTTTTTAAAGTTTTTTGTTAATTTTTTCCAATTTTTATTATTTTTTATCAATTTTCATTATTACACTGGCTTCCAAACAATGAAGAAAATCTATAGGATATTAACAGGTGAAGCAAAATCTTTTCAAATTGAAGAAGAATTGTCAGTAAGTGAGACCGTCTTTTTCAAGTACGCACCTATAACATCAGTAGACGTTGAAAGAAGCTTCTGCAGGAATGAAAATTTACTTTCAGACAAGAGACGCTCGTTTACATTTCAAATTATCAAAAAACATTTAATAATCCAATGTAATTCTGATATTTAGTAATATTATGAGATGGAAGTTGTTATATCCATTAAAGTTTCTATACAAAATAAAAATATTTTGGTGTCAATATATTTTCCTTTTTTTGTTATTTTAGGATATAAAACATATTTTTCAAACTTTAATGAACGTAGAACAAGTATTGCATTGCTTTATATTTTTTAAATGACTCATAATAATTTTAAAGACCAAAATATTTTTTTGATTCAATATTTTTACTTAATTTAAGGCATTTTTTGCGTAATTTTTGCATTTTTAAGGGCATTTTTGGCCCTTTTTAAGGGCATTTTTTGTACTTTTTAAGGGCATTAGTTGAGATTTTTTAGGTCATCAAAATCCGGGCTCTAATTATTACTATAACTACATGAATACTCGTCCTTCTTACAGGTTGAAACAAAACTAAATAATTAATCAGCAATCGGTTAATTATTTATCGGTTAATTATTTAATAATCGGTAATAATCACTACGAAATCATGCACAAGGCCGACAGTTAAGTTGACAGTATTTAAGTTGAAACAATTCCAGTTTTTTTTTTATTTATTATTATTTGTTGTTCTCCCTGAAGACTTCACGTTATTAAATTAAGCAAAACATAATTTTTAGGATTTCGTCCTTTCAAAATAAAAACTGACTATGTTCACTTGGCATAATGCCATTGCTCGAGGCCAATTCCTGATTGTCGAAAATTACCAAAATCAACAGATTTCTTCGGTACTTTTCCCATTCAATGGGCTGTAAAAAAACCTATTTCCACAGTTCTATAACAGGTATCGTAGTACCCATATTAGTATATGCAATAAACACTAAAAATAACAACAATTAACATACTAAGAGGCCGGGATTGCCTGGTTGGTCGGTCACTGGACTCATGTCCAAGAGTTCGTGGGTTCGATCCCCGCCGGCCGAAGACTTCTCGTGTAGTGAATGGTGACTGATACACGTTAAATCTGTCGAGTCGCAAAGTCCTCCATGTTTCCATAACAAATCAATACCTCTGGGCGTACTGAGTTTCCTTGTCTTCTGGATTGGTTCAAAATTACAAGGCTACGGAGCTAAACATTGGTCGTCGTAAGCCCGAAATTGGGTCAGCTGTTCAACGACGGATATAAAAAAAATTAACATAATATCAGAAATATTTATTAGCGAAAATTTTTCTTTTTTTCCGGTTATTATTATTTTTTAATTGAAAACAACGAGGGGCTCGTCAGCAATTTAAAAGATGTGTGCAGACTTAAAATATTAAGTTTTAAATCCAAAATTATAAGCGTACTTATATATTTGTCAAAACTAATGGCAACTTTTTCATAAAAAGTCGGCATGTCGCAGCGCTGACAAATTAATTCGACATGTGAGCGTTAAATTATATTACAACCTGCCAGCAGAGATTACATTGCTGATATAAACTATACTCTGGTAAAGACAGACTCCGTTGGTATCGGGCTAACCTTGAGAGGTTTACTTGGGTTTTTTTACCTCCATTTTGCGTAAATGATGATTAGTTTCGCTTAAAAATTCTTCTCGATGGTGAATATGATCTTTTTTGAGATTCGGAAATTCGTTGAGTGGCAGCCAAAATAATGAAAAAAATGTGAGTCGCGTAACATTTTGATAGTGTAGTTTACCACTATAGAAAAAATACTCAAAACAATTTTAAAAGCATTTTTATAAATAAAAAAATTTCATTTTTGCATAAAACTGCTAATTTTTAATGAAAAGGTTGACAATAATTTAACAACAGCTATAGCTGCATAAATATTATTTTTTCTTCTTATGATTATTTTAATACATTATTTATGTAATTTTATATATACCGGTAAAACATCAACTCTGTTTTTCTTTTATCGGTTTTCGGGCTAACAAGGCTAGATAAAACTTGATGCTAGTTCGTCCCAAACTGAAGTTGCTAAAATTCCATATCGTGAATAGTATATACATATTTATTTTAAATGTACAAATAAATTGCATTTGTTGCGAAACATTAAAAATCCTCCATAGAAACAAACAGATGCTATGCACAAAAATGACAAAAAATCCTCCTTTATAAATGAGTTAGGATAAAAAAATACATCCAAAACATTTATGAGTTATGTCTTTACAAATATTCTAAAAATATAAAGATTAAGCGAAATAATAAAATCAACGAAAAATATAAAGATTAAGTGAAATAAAAGCAACGAAAGTAATAACTTTAAAGCTCATTTACTCGAATTCACTTACCAGGTTCTTCCACTAAGCTCTTCATACAAAGTGTATAGATTAGTGTTTTCTATTATTTTTCGGGCTAAGCCCCAAATAAAACTTTTTAAAATTCTTATGCCCCCCAAACATAAACATATTTTTTAATGTTCAAAAATTTTATTATTTGCGAAAGATAGGCTTTACGAAAAAATTGCAATGGAATTATTGAGCTAACACCGTAAGTAAATTTTCAAATCAAAACTGAAATCCAAGAACAAAAAAGAAATTTTAATGAAAAGATTTTTCTGTATTGCTTTAAATATTAGCAATTATATATCATTTCAATTTACGGATGTTGTTGTAGTTGTAGTTAATTTACGTCGCACTAGAGTTGCACAATGGGCTATTGGCGACGGTCTGGGAAACATCCCTGAGGATGATCCGAAGACATGCCATCACAATTTTAATCCTCTGCAGAGGGGATGGCACCCCCGCTTCGGTAGCCCGACGACCTGCACGCGAAGTCGAGAACTTTACGGCAGAACAGTTTAACGAGGACCAATACCGCACATCCTCGGTCCCTGCGCAGACTGATCCAAGTGGTCACCCACCCGCACGCACTCACGGAAATGCTCACGGTTTCAGCACCGCTTGGCGCGGTCGAGAATAAGCTCTCTGAAAACCGCAAAATTGAGAATATGGTAACCCAACCGATCTATGCGTCACATCTTGCTACAGCGTGCAACCCTATTACGTTGATTGAGTGGGAAAATGATGGTTCTATTCTAGTTAAAAATTTCTTTCTTCACACCGCTCTTGTATTTTTTATAAGCGGTTTTCGTTTTGAATGAAAAATTCATACTTAATTTAATGTTTATGTCTCAGAATTTTATTTAAAAATAGATTCTTGTAAATATTTTACTTTTCAACTTCTTTTTTTTTTACTTTTGTTCTTGAAAGTGTAAAATCTATATATTTTTTTTTAAATTTTATTTGCTAAGACAGTTTACCATTCTTTACTATGCTATATATATAAAGGCTTATGTGCTAACTATATACTAAGGCATATTGCATTCAGTTTCCAATTCAAATGTAAGAAAATTTTATATAAGGTATTTTTATTGCAGTTACCTTTATCGCTAAATTCAGCATTTCAGATGCGTAATTAGGAAAAAAAATTAATTCTTTTATTCCAAATGCATAATAAAAATTCTTCACGATGAAATACGTATTGTTACGCTAATAATGAACTATAATAGATTTGAGAAATGAGTTAAAGAACTTTATACGGTTAAAAAAGAAATTGCCTCACTTGTTTGCTTTATCAGATGGAGGTGATTTTATTAAATCGTTTTTCCTGAAATAAAACATTTAATCAGAAAAAGGTGATAATTTTCAATTGGAAATATATATAAGAAATTTTTCACAAAGGAATCGATACTTTTACGCAAATAATAAATTAAGATGGATCTGAAAAAATAGACCTGAGAAAGCAATTAATACATTTAAAGTGCTTTAATTTAACCTTATAATTTTAGTCATTTGTTTGCAGTTTCAAAAGTAATAAAAGTTTTTTAAAAAAATGTTTATTTCATTATCATACGCAGCACTTTACTTTAACCTTATTATTTTATTCATTTTCAATAAGATGAAGATTTTAATGACACTACTTCAATATTTTGAAAGTTTCAAAAATTATAAAAATTAAGAAAAAAAAGTTTTATTTAATTTTAATCCGATCAAATTTACTTTAACATTATTTTACTCAAATGCAATTTCAAAAGTGATGAAGTACAAGAACCAAGTTTTATTTTATAATTATACGACTAAAAATTTTGCTATTTCTTATACCATTACTAGTGCCATTTCTTATAACGTTACTAAATAAGATATTACATAATAGTATAAGAAAAAAATGAATGGTAGATTGAAAATAAATAATAAGAAATACTTCACAGAAAAATCGATATTTTTACACAGATAATAATTAATTGGGGGAATATCTTAGGAAATGGATCTACAAAAGCAAATTATACAATTAAAATAATTTATCCTTAGAATGCAACAGTGAACTATTTTGTTAATATGAAATATATTTCAGATGTTTTTGTATATAGTTTTAAAAACTTAAATAAACATGTATAATAAAATTAGTTACAGTTCCTTGACATAAGAGTTTCTCTGTTTCTTCAGTTTGATTAGACCAATCTGAACTTAAGTATATATAAAAGTAAAATATAATTTATATTTCAGGGCTCTAAGAGAACTTTTGCTTTTATTTGTTCTTTAGCATTTATGCTATTTTTAACCTAATTGATTTGTTTTATCCACCGTGATTGCTTGCATCTTAAAAAATATCTATAGTTGATTTATAGAGAAAATTACATTGTCAACTTTCATCATAATTAACAACACTTAAACT